GTGGATGCGCACTGCTGAGGAGTCACACATTAAGACGAAACGGCCGTCTAGTGCTTCCAGGTTTTTAATGGTGGTCTGACATCAATCGGTTCATGATCTCAATCAAAAACTTAATAATCTCCACAACCCTATACTGAAGAACATTTTTATTATCCCATATCTAATGAATATATACTACTGAATACTTTTTACAATTCCTAGAACGATCTAGATAAAAACAAATAATTAAGTGTAAAGAAGAAATGAACCCAATCAATAAAATTATAATGGGAATTTTATGATATAAATATAATCTTTCTGATTATACACAATACATTTATAGTGTAAATGAAATTTTACGTATCCAATTATTATAAGTAAACAAATTATCTTTATTATCAATAATAATACAAGTTGAAATTTCGAATCTTCCCTTTTATTTAATATAAATTTATGTAAGTACGAAACCAAAGATTCTGGGTTTTGATCTTTAGTTGTGGAGTCATAGATGTGTACTGCTTAAGATTCAACCTCATACCAGAGTAAAATAGCTGTCTAGTGTTTCTAAGTTTTCAATAGTGATCTGGTTGAGATCTGCTCGTGTTTTCAATAAATTGTATTAGTTTTGAAATACTGATGAAATAAAAACTATAATTCCATTAATCTCAAATATCATCTCTTCTACAATTAAGTTTGTTTACGATCAATTTTATCAAGCCTATTAGTTAACTTATTTAACAGACAGTGTTATTCGAACAGTAACAATTCGACTATTTCTTTGTATTATTATTATTATTATCATGACTGTATGAACATGTATGCTTGATCACATGCGACAGCCTACGCACATAACCCTCTCTTCAACTTAAATGTTAGCTGCTTAAAAACTGCCCGATGAACCATTCACTTTTTCATATACAAATGTGTTTGAATCTTACAAATTAATTCGCTTATCAATTTATCTCTGTATTCGTTTGATGTGCTTGTAAATTTGTAATCTGCGCTATCCAATAACAAACTGTAATCATCGCTTTACATTACCTTCTAAATGTATTCACCGTCAGGATTTATTTAATAACGGTTATCATAGTGATTAATATGTGAAGCATAAGAAATTATCTTGAAACCAAGTCACTATACCTAGTTACCTATTTTCATCGCTTAAATAAAAATATGAAAATCATTCATCTCTATCATGTATAATCTTTATTACATTTTGCATACATTAAAAAATTGATAAACAAAACATTTTTATTTATTTATAAGATTTCTTGATAGATCATTTGTATACACAATAATCTATCTGTACTACTGAAAACTAATATTATCTTAATTCAAATCTAAAACACTAAATCACTAGAAAATGAATTGATTGATTAACTGATTTTAGACAATAACACCATTGAATGCCAGTTCAGTGGTCTAGTAAGTTAAGCGTTTGCGCACGAGACTTAAGGCTCTGGGTTCAAATCATGAGAGCAGGATTATGGATGCGCACTGCTGAGAGGTCCCACAATAGGACAAAACGGTCGTCCAGTGCTTCCAGATTTCCAACGGTGGTCTATCATCAATCAGTTCATGATCTTAATCAAAAACGATTGAAGTTGGTTTTATTTTTTTTATTTATCTATTTGTTTTGCGGCGGGGGGGAGGAGGAATAAATAACAAAATCCAGTTATGATTGAAATTTTCTTGTATTTAATAATGGTATATTTAATATTTCAGGACATGACCCGAAAATTAAAATGTTATAATTAACTAGTTAGTTATAAAGAAGATTTTATTTAATCGAATAGAAATTTTATTTTAACAAAATTAAGTATCAAAGAAATTAAATATTAATTTTCCTTTTCTTTTTTCTGTATAGAAGTTTAGGATGTTTACTAACCTTATAAACTGTTATTATCATTATTTATAAGATCTCTTCCTTTTTTCGTAATCATACCATTCCCCAACTTATTCAAATTTTAATATTAAAGATCAAATAATTATAGATGTACAATATAGAATGATCTAGAAAAGTTGATTATACGTTTACTAATTCCTATTTCATAACATATAAACTACCCTATTTGTATTGGAAAATAATTGAAATAAATGATTCGGTTAAAACATTGTGTTATAAGGCATAATGAGATTATTATGTAATTATTAAAAGGCAAAGATAGATCATTCATGTTCAATGTATTCAATAGATCTTTAAAGAGAATGTAGAGTTTGAAAAATATATTTCTGATTAAACCATGTATATATCTGAAAAAGTAACTGAATATATGGTTATCAGAAGGGTTTTTATGGAGATCTTAGAAATTTCACTGATTGAAATCATGAGTCAACTGAAGCTAGATCACCATGGAAAACCTGGAAGCACTGGACGGTTGTTTCGTCTTAGTGTGGAACTCCTCAGTAGTGCGCATCCACGATCGCGCACCCCTCGAGATTCGAACCCAGGACCTGTTGTGAGATATCAACTCAATGAAGACAATGGTGTACGATGGCGTAACATCGTGGATTGGCTGAAGTTGGATGCCGGCTCGGTGGTCTAGTTGGTTAAGCACTTGGCGCGAAACTGATAGATCGCGAGTTCGAATCTCACGGAGTGAGGGATCGTGGATGCGCACTTCTGAAGAGTCCAACAATAGGACGGAACGGCTGTCCAGTGCTTACAGGTTTTCCATGGTAGTCTAGCTTCAATTGACTCATGATTTCAATCAGTGAATATATAATTATTATTTTTCTCAGATAGTTTTTTGTAACTAAGTCCCTTAGAAACACTTTAACAATAAGTTTCACATTTACAAATCAATTGGTCAACTTGAATGACAATAAATTACAAAATAAATCAATATATTTCATCAGATTATATGAAATCTAACCATTAATAATATTCTATATAGCTATGCTGGAATGATGTATAAAGAAAATTAAGAATATATTCTTTATATTATACAATTTGATAATTACTGTAAAAATATACACTTCTGAGTACATTTTTCTATATAAAAAAGGTAGAATTAAATGGTTATGACAAGATGTTTATTTTAATGATTTAATTTTTTAAGGATACACATTCAAAATTGAAAACAATATTCAAGTCTTCATGTAACACACAATAAAACCTGAATTATATCTTTATTTATGTAATCGATTAATCTTTCTCTCTTTTCCTTTGTGAATATTCTTTTCTTGATTTATCGCTTTTATCTTATAGTATATTATACAAACTAATTACGTAATTATTGTTTCTTATCTTGTCTCTATATTATTTTGAATTGATTTTTATGTTTCATAAAAATTAAACTTTTAGTTTTTTGATAACAATAATACATTTTGTATTCTTATATACTTTGTTACTTTTGATAATCATATTCGATGAACTTTATCAATAAGAAGCATAGTATAGAGCATCTGGTTCGACTAAGACTACCTGTTCCTGTCATCTGGATATTTCAACAAGTTATCTGTTTTCTTATTCGTTTTGACATATCATATTAGTTTTATAACTTATTCAGGTGCGTTTGTGAAACATTTATGACATTACGCTGTACAGATTGCAAAAGAGCCCAATTAGAGACATCGTGGTTACTGGATACAAGCATAGAAAAAAAAAGTACATTATTCAGATGTCAAGTTCTGTACTGCTAACATCTAACTGGTAACCACTCATTATTTATTCCAAGGATCGATCAGGAAATAAGATAAGGAAACCTGTTGAAATACTTTGTGTTGAGAATTCTATATTGTACCAAAAATATATTATTGAATAAAACGACTAATAATAGTAATAATAAAGAATCGCTTAGTTCTTGAAATAAGTGGTAATTGATAGATTAATGCACAAAATGAATGTCTTATAGCCTATATTATTAAATATATTGAAATTCAAAGCAGATATAGATGGTGGGTAGCAGTGGAATCCATGACTAGTATATTGGCCGATTTGGAACTAGTCAGCTGGACGTACTTTATAGGTTGCAGATCTAAACAACCAATGTACATTTATATTATAATAAAAACCGTTTTGAAATTTAGAGCCTGAGGTTATCATCAGAAAAAGACAACTGGTTTACATGAAGCTGTTTTTAATTTATGAACTTTGATTTAAAATAAATTCTTACTGGTATAATCTTAATAGAATTCGAAGCATTCCAGTAATCTGTCTTATAATTTTACCATCAAGTTGTAATCTTTTTGTGTACTTTGCTGGGGTTTATCTTCAGTAAACAGTTTTATGGCACCTGTCAATAGTTTGTGAAAACTTCATATATTGTTAATACATGTACAGTTTCTTGAAGTAATATCTTTATTGTTTCAAGCATAAATATACATTATAAAACATATTTTGATTAATGATATAGTTTCCAAATTTCAATCCACATGATATCAATTCGTTTTTCATGAAACTATTGTAATATTTATTTAATGGAAAACATTTTTTTCTAAGAAAAAATACTTTCCTTCCATTTGATGTTGTTTTACTTGTCTCTTCCGATTGTTACTTAGGACTGCAACTGATCAGTCCTATGTTGACATATGTGCATCCTGTGCGAATTGTCTCAATGTAGATTTAATTCACAAACTTTATAAGCAGAGATGCATAGAGGCTATCAGTGGAATTTAGTTTGACGCGTGTTTCATCCTATTTGGGACTCGTCAGCTGGTTGTACTAACATCTCATAGTTGATGTTCACTCCGGAATTCGAACTCGAATAGTACCGTTCGCTTACAAACGCCATCGCACTATCCACTTAGCTACTAAGTCCTGATAGCCACTTACTTGTACAATGAGGTGAAGTTTTAATTCACTTGTTGTTGTTTGACTTGCATCTTTTCATTGTTATTTTGGACTTCAATTGATCAGTCTCATGTTGACATATGTGCAAGTAGATCCAGTTGACAAATCCCAAATAAGATGGAACGCGTATCAAACTAGATTTCATTACTAATCATTATCCATCTTTATTTAAAATATTATTTTTATAAAAACAAACAAAAAGTGTTTTTCTCTATTTTTCTTTTAGCTTATACCAACTAATGAACAATTAATAAATTTTTTACCAAATGAAATTAAAATAGAAAAATATTTTGGTCTACATTCAATATCAAGTTTACAAATAACAAATAATTTGACTCAATTAATAAATACATGGTTATTGATTAATTGGCCAGATGAACAAACTAAATATAATTATGTTATTGAAATTGTTCAAGTATGTTTCTTTTTATTTTTTTATTTTTTTTATTTTTTTATTGTATCTACCTAGTTTTTGTTTTTAAAAATTCTCTATGCGAATTCATTTGCATAAAATGTGTTTATTTTATTTCAAATGAAAATGAATAAAGTTTTTTTCGTATTTTTTGTTCTTGATTTTAATTAACTAAATCTATTTGCTAATTTTAATCGTCTTTTTCTCGTTGTCATGGATACAGGTAGTATATACGGATTTTAGATTATTGTAAATTTACTAATGTTTTTATTTAAAGACAAAAAAAGAGGAAAATTTCATATATATAGTTCACCTTATTATTTTAAAGGGAACAAAAACAAAGATTGGTGCAGAATAATATGAATTCATTCTATTTCGTTCAGTTCTAAAACTACATCATTCATAACTGACTGATCTTAATTCATATCTTTCTTTATTACCAACAATTTATTCTCAGTTACTTCATTACATAATCATCACAATATGTTTTTAATTCCATGAGTTCTAATCACTATTTCAATGTTCCGGAAGGTTCCCGCCCAAACTTTATTTTTTCGAAATAAAATTTTATAACCTCATTAATCCAATCGGAATCTTCGCTACATCATAATACAAATATATTCATCTTTAATCATCCTCTTATGTATAAGTATGTCAATAACTGTAATAACTCTGATTTTCAAATATTTTAGGTTGTAAGCAGCTGATGAGAACCTAACGAAATAAAGTGAATTCATATGGTTCTGCACCAATTTTTGTTCTTGCTCTCTTTAAAGAGGAAACTTATTGATTAAAGTTTTTTTTACTTCAACAAAAAGATTATTATTTTCATAACTTTTTCTATCTATATGATAGTTTGATAGTATTATTATTGTTATATGATGTTGTTTTCACAGCATTGTATTTTCTACTAAGAGTGTTTGTGTGATAATTTATGCCTTATATTTGAATTAAACTTCTATAAAAACAAACTACTTGGATCACAGTAAAGTAATTAACTGCTACAATGATGAAGATCTCAAATCGATTAACTTTGTTATAACTTTGTATTCTTTTCAATTCTTTCAAATGGTTTGAAAGAATTAGATTTACAGAATTGAATACCCTTTTTATGATTTATTTTTAATATAGTATTTGAAATGTAAATATTCAAATCTATTTGTTGTGCCACTTCTATCAGTTTGTAGTTGTTATTTGTTTAGTTTATAAAATATGTGTAGAGTTTGTTTTTAAATTGAATAATTGGAAGATCACAAAACAGATCTTTATGAATCAGAAAAAAAGTCATTTCAATGTACAACATAGTAACTGATAATAATTAGAGGTTAAGTATCAATATCACAAATTATTTATACATATATACAACTGAATAAATAAGATAACAGGAAAATATACACACAGAAACAGCTATAAAAAGTAGCATTGACGCAGAAGATTCATTTTCCGAATAATAATTATGACGAATTATAGTTGTTTCAAAACTTCTTTCAATAATGCTTTTATATTGGTTTCGTATGTGTGAAAGATATTCCAATTTACTTTAACCTAATGATTATTTAAGTTTTTATTAATCTATTGGTACTATTTATGTTGATAGGTTTCAGATGCTTACAAAACAATTGAAAACTAATTATTCTTTCAAGTTTAATGTAATTCAACTGCGTTTTGAAGAATAATTGGCTGATGTATTTTCATATATAAAATTTTAAAAAATTATATTTTAAGAGTAGAATTTATGAGTCAATTAGGCTAGATCACCATAGAAAACCTGGAAGCACTGAACGGCCATCTTGTCTTATTGTGGGACTACTCAGTAGTGCGCATCCACGATCCCGCTCGCCATATTCCAACTCAGGACCTGTCAGTCTTGCACGCGAGCGCTTAACCTGTAAACCACTGAGCCGGCATCCAACGGTGTTAATGTCTAGCCTCAACCAATCCACGAGTCACTTGATGTTAGACTACCATGGAAAACGTGGAAGCACTGGACGGCACTGGATAGACAAAACATATTTACCGATTCTTCGGCGTTTATTTCATCATAGTTATTTGTATTTTACGTGCTTTTTAAATATTGTAGAAACAGTATTAATCAGACAATAAGGAAATTTAAATTTAAGTGGACATCACAAAAAGGCCACAAATAAATCAACGCTGATCATTGTTACCAGCATTTATAACGTAGTTTTATAATATATATATAAATACATACATATATATATACCTTTTCTATTTGAGTGTTCATGATAAGTATATGTCAGATTACTATTCTTAACTGCAATGATGTTAAATAAAACGATAAATCCTAAACGTGTACGTATTGAAGAGGACACATACTAAAAACTCGCACATTAGGTTTTATAGTTGAACTACTGACAAATTTATAAGTAGCTACACTTGTATTACCAAAAATCTGATTTGTTTATAATTCAATTTATTAAACCTATTTTAGATTGCTTGTGAAGTTACTTTATCATATGCAAAACAGTTACATGAGAAACTTCGTCTACAAGGATATTGTGATGAAGAAGGGCAGTTTGATATTTCAACCTCAGTAAGTTGTCATCTATGATTATTTTTAAATATTTTATCGCAATGACTATTTTATTTCATGCTAAAATGTTCAACACCAATGTTTTCGTTAATTCTGTCTGATTAATACTAAAGTGCCCAAGGATCGTCACATATTTTAAACTGTCTGGTATGCACTGTGTAGAACAATGTTGAAATCCATTCACATGTAACTCTGAAGTAAACTACTGTTTTTCATTTGACTGCCATTGAGTTGTTGCATTTTTTTAGTTTATGAATGTTCGATTTTAAGAGATGATAGGTTTGTTGATATTTAAGCTTCATCAATTACTTACTGGATAGTTATTCTCTCTCATTTTTAGTATTGGTCAACAAAAGAGATAATTAGTCAGCTCTAAATGTAAGAAACGTATGTTTGTCAGAAATATTTAAAAATAGGAACTGAGGCTGACTTGATAATAACGAAACTTTCGGAAAATAAATGCAATTGAAAAACGTTATTACACTATAAAGACATTTGTCAAAGAAGGATAAATATTAATAGCCATACGGTTCGTATAACAGTAATACATGCACTGCAGAAATAAATGATATATTTCATTGATACATTTACCGTATATTGCTTGCTACTTTTATTACCCTTTCGTATATCATTATAGCTCTCTATTGGATTGAACAATTTGGAATTAATTTCAAAATTTATTCAATGCATTCTACTATTTTTAAATGTACAAACTCCTTGGTCGTCTAATAATAAAAATATTGTTCCCAGTATTTCTAATACTAACAACACGAGTAGTGTTCTTTGTGGTACTATCACTGATAAAAGTAACAATACTAAAAGTAATGATAATAATAACAATAATCGTGGGACTATTGATACCACAAATGTAACCAGTAAATCGATTGATGATGAAGAAACTAAAATTTCCTACCAACATTTAGAAACTTTAAAGCGTCTTCAACATAAAGGATATGGTGAACTTATTCGTGTATTGAATCGAACAATCTATCGTATGAATGCTAAAGTAAGTATTCATAAAAATCTATTTTGTTGAATTTATCTTTGGTAAATTCTTTCTCGAACGAGTTGGACATTGTTTAAAAACCTTCATATATGTATATTAACTAATACAGTTTTTGGTTTTTAGTTAACAATGTTTACACTACCAGAAGTTTAACAACACGAATAGTGCATTTACATCTAATGTAACTTTTTTTCCATACAATAACAAACTCAGGAAAAAAAGCGAAAAAACTATTCTAAGTTGATAAAAATTGACATTATTATTATTACTATTGTCAGAAAGGGGTTTTTGTGGATATTATGGTAATTTAATAGTTGAATTCATGAGTCAGTTGGAGCTACATAACCATGAAAAATCTTCAAACAGTGGATGGCCATTTCGTTCCATTGTGGAACTCCTCAACAGAGTGCATCCAAGATTCCAACTCGCAGTATTCCAACACAGAACCTCTCAGTCTCGTCTGTGAACACTTAACCACTAAGCCATTGAGCCGGCCAGTATCCAACAGTGTTAATGTCTAACTTCAACTAATCCACGAAATTGAGTGACACATCCACCATTGCCATCAGTGAGTTACTATCTCACAATTGATGCGGTTGAACTCTACTGATCATTAATTCTCAATAGAACTTCAAGAAATAGCTCTTGAAGCCAGTCAGTAGTAAGCATATGATGATTATTATCAGTTCTGTATTTTTATAAACAACCGAATCATTATGTATACTGATTGCTTCACATTTCAATCTTAATTATGTACTGAAATTAAATCTCTATTTCGTTGTAATCATTTTACCAATCACTAAATTGTCAATCCGCGATGAGGATCAAGAACTTCAATTAAAAATACGTTTATATGAAAGTGTTTGTTTGAGTCTATTCCCTAAATACATGTTCAAGTTCTTTAAAAAAATTCTAGAGTAAACTACACGTTTATATTACTGACCTCTATAATCACAAAGACATATATTTCCTCTTATAATAATTCGCTGTCAGTACGTAACAGATCAACGTCAACTTATTTATAATCTTTTCTCATGCTAAATTATTACGTAATCTCCAATTGTTTTCTAACGTTTAACAGTGTAAAACCATATGAAAATCAAGACTATTAAGTAACTTAACGAAAGTATCTTTTTTCAAAGACTTTAAATTGTACGGAATGTATATGTAAACTACTTCAGTACATAAACCATTGCATTAATTCCGTATGTCTCAAAAAGTTACAGAATGCATGTATCAACCTTCAATTGTAGTTTTTCACTGTGATCCTTCAAAACAATGTTACATGATTTTAAAGTTCAAATATTCCCTTCTTACTTACTGTAATTGTTATCATTAACATTTATTTAGTAGTCAATTACATTTTCATTTTTTTACATAATCACTCTAAGTTATAAAATGAGCATAGCTTATTCCTTTATTTATTTATAAGATGAGACCAGAAATCAGAAAGAATGTCTTTCATTTATGTTGGAGTCTACGATCAACTCCTGTTGATAAGGTGAGTAACTTCGAAGAATGATTATATCACATTTTATTTGATAGATAAATAGTTGTACAGAAATCATTATTTGAATATTTCTCATTTATTCATTCATAAGCGTATACATGTTTCAGTCTAGTCACTTACCGGGTATTCATTAATGTCACATTGTCTATGTATAATGACTGACTATATTCTATTGATTACTTTTAAGTTTCAAAATTATTCTTAACAATCTGATGTCATCGTGAAAATCAAGGAATTTCGAATGACTGAAAGCAAATTGCAATCAGTTTTGGATGGAAGGTTTATACCACTAAAAACCTATCAACTAGTTATCCCAACAACATAAAGAAAATGGATGCTTTCCAATAACTTTAGACATTTAATAAAAGTTACCTTTAACAATAGCTGAGTAATGCGATCAAACTTCAGAAGTCAATGAGACATATAAGAATAAAATTCGTAATAAGTTAGTCTTGATTGTTCAAAACCAAGTTCTTAAACTAGAAATGGGTCATAAAACTAGAGAAATCTATTATTGCATGAAAGAACGGGTGACAATGCGTCTTTTTTGAATACCTGACTTAAAACTTATGAGTTTCTGAGTTTCTTAATGCACAACCTAGCACTGAGCTACAGAATTACACTGGCAGTTATTAACGTGGGAATATATAATTTCGTTCTGATAAATAATAACATTTATCGAAGTGAAAGAATCAATGAATATATCAGGATGGTTGTCAATCAGTCACTTGATTACAGTTTAACTTAACAAAGTAGTCCAGAACACAAAGATACATAAATATAAAAGAAAACTTATGAAGACAACCAGATATAAATAAGATTAGTAAAACTGATTAATTTAAAGACCATGAAATAACTTATAACAGCCTATCTCTACGTAAAGTAAAATCTGATAGCGTTGTCCAGAACATAATTGTAAGCCATGAAATTAAACCATATAACTCAAAGAACACAAAAACATTTGAATAATGACAAGCTGAGCAATACTATGATGGAGTTTTGTTCTCTGAGCTGGAGCTGACCAAAACATTTAGCTCAGAGAACAAAACTCGATCAAAATTATTCATCTGAGCTACAAATGTTCTCCACCATCTCATGAACAATATTAACGCTATTTATTATATATATATAATTACATTAGCACATTAACCGATACAATTTTTATATAGGCTATGCATGATTTAATCGTTTATTTGGACTCCAATATAAGAACATTAAAAATTAATGTATCTAGTAATTTATTACATCGTTGTATACTATCAATATGGCATGAATGTCTTGAACAATATATGGAACAAACAATTAAAGAAGGTGAAATTAATTCAACTAATATTGGTGGTCCTGGTGCATTTCTACAAATTAAATCAGATTTTAATGCAGATAATAATAATAATTCAGCAATTATACCACTATCTACTCATGAAATGTATGAATTAATATCTAATTTACCAATGGAAATAGATAAAAATCAAATTTTTCGAGCTAAATCTACATTAGAAAGATTAAAAAAGTCTTTAGGCATATTACTTGAATTTTTCTTAAAAATTGGTGAGGATCAAATCAATAAAGGAAGTTTAGAAACAGAAGAATATAATGTAAGTTAATAATTATCTTTATTTATAATTTTATTAATTACGATTATCATATATGATCTTATCGAACCAACATTCATACAACATACTTGATCGTTATACTATGGAAATACTGCATACATTACAGCTTATACTATTACTATAAAATCTATCGTTGATTTCATGCATGAAAATTGTCGTATTAGTATCAGAAGTAGTAATTTCAATAGTTGAGATCATGAGTCAATTGAAGCTAGACCACAATGGGAAACCACTACAAAACCCTTTCTGATACTCATCAACGTATGCTCACTACTGACTGGCTTCAAGAGCTATTTCATGAAGATCTGTTGAAAAGCAATGATCAGTGGAGTTCAACTGGGGTTTTTGTGAGACAATAACTCATTAATAACAATGGTGAATATGTCACTCAATTTCGTGGATTAGTTGAAGTTAGACATTAACACTGTTGAATACTGGCCGGCTCAATGTTCTACTGCTTAAGCTTTCGCGCACAAGATTGAGAGGTCCTGTGTTGGAATACTGCGAGTTGAGGTCTTGGATGCACACTGCTGAGGAGTCCCACAACATGACGAAACAGCCGCCCAGTGCTTCCAGGTTTTCCATGGTGGTCTAGCTTCAATTGACTCATGATTTCAACTACTGAAATTATTAAAATTAGTTCATGAAATTGTAGAACTAATACATTGATCATTTACATTCCCCCTGTTCTACAGTGTTTATGCAGCAGAGGTAAAAATGTCAGACTTGACTGTTCCTTTTGCATATATCAGTCTATAGTCTCAGATTTGATTGCTCATGCATTTTCATACCAATCGCTCTTCGTTCTCGGCCTTTCCCTCTCAATCTTCCACTGAAATACATTCTATATCTAACCGTCGTTACATACTACTGATGTGGATATGTTTAAAAATTAACAAATTATATTTGATCATGTCGAACAGCATTCGACTAAAATAAGATCTATTCGTCAAAACTTTAAAAATAGGGATTTTAGATATTGTGACCAAAGTGATCAACAACCATTAAATATTACTGGGTACTATCGATTCATCAGATAGCAGTGAATTGGGTTTGCTTTATACCTGAACTATTGAAAAACCAATTTCATATGATTTTTAAGCAAAGATGGATAGTGGTTAGCAGTGGAATCCAGTTTGACGCGCGTTACATTCTATTTGAGACTCGTCAGATGGATGTACTCGCATCCCAGCGATGATGATCACTCCGAGATTCAAACCCAGTACCGTTCGCTTCAAACACCATCGTGTTCTCCACACAGCTACTGAGTCATGATAGCCATCTGCTTGTGCAACACCAAGTGAATTTAAACTTCATATGATGTTTATAAGAAATCATAGAATTCATCATTATAGCTAAGTGAGAGATTTCATGTATACTGTTAAATGTGTCGATTATTGATATAATGTCAATGGATGTTAGCACAAAATCAGAATATATTATATCAAGTAAAAGCCTGAAATACCTGAGACATTCCACTTTCTTGTAACAAGTTCATATCTGATTATACCTTAGAAAATCTAACGGTATTATTTTAAATTTATCTAATAGCATAGACGATCTAATGTTTTAAGAAGACAAGATCTGATGTCGTTTTGTTCATAGACACAGACAGGCGATTAATATCTTCAGGGTGGTATCAAGTTTTGCACTGAAAAGTACTTAGAAACACAAATGGCGTATGTCCATAATTGTACCACGAAATCATGAAAATTAGAATTTGTGAAAGCTTATGCATCTTCGTTTTTCGTTTCTTAAATGATCATTAACCACTACTAATTTTAACATATAATCTAGAATAATTAAAATCTCCTATAATAGCTTTGTTACTATATAAATAGCCTTCTTTTACAAAATCTAAAAAAACTTAGAATTGAAACTTTAATTGTATTAAAAACCTGTTACGGATTCATTCAAGATTTGTGAAGCAGCTGAAGTTTGTTTTCAGTGTTTGACTCACTCAATGCTCATAAAAGATACTTACATAATAAAGTACTCTAGTCTTTTAACTCAAAATAAGATAATTATCGTATTGACTTTCAAGCAATATAGTTTATGTCATTAAATAAAGTATTTTTTTATTACATAAGACAGAAGTTAGTAAACTCGATACGAAACACATTTTTATTTGATGTCATTCGAAAAGGGATCAGATCATGAATAACACTAATCAAAACTAAAAACAGCCTTAATATGTACAATAACCGCTGCGAAACTGGTTTTATCATACACAACTCGACGCTCCATAACACAAACAAAAGTATACAAATATATGTATTATGTCACATCCAATTAAATATATCAGTTTACATACAAATGTATATCTGAGGGATGAAAAAATGAGCAGCTACTCGTTTTACTGAACATATTCCAAGGAAACTGAGTCTCTGGGGACTAAAAAGCCTACGTAATTTGACAGCATATCCATCAGCTAGTAGATGTGGTGCATAACGTTAAAACAATAAATGAATTTAAAGTGGTAAATAACACAGTTCAGTTAAATCTTATTAAACTTTTGTAGGCTATAACAATCAGAAGGTTTATCCTAGACTTATATGCTTAAAAACATCAGTGGTTAACCATCGATTACTTTGATACTAATTCATTTTCCAAATTTATAATTTGAAAAGATTTGACTTATTAGCTTAGGTGAAGCTAAGGAGAAAGGAACGAAATACAATGAATTCATCGTACTTTCCAAATATTGTCGTTGTATGGTTTGTTCAATTTGACATACATTCCATATTTATAAATAAAGTAATTAGAAACCGTATATAATAATTTATACCATAATCCTAAAGTGAACAATTTCAAGCAATCTGATATTACGATATATGAATAAACGAATGGAATGTAAAACCTAGTTTTTAGTCAAAAAGAACAATAACAAAATAGGTATACTAATTATCTAATATATACATTGTCACGTTTACATGTTTTTCTGTTGTTATATAATGTTATTATGATCTCGACCAAAAGCATGAACTTTTTTATTATATATTGAGTCATTTTGGAGGATGATAAATTGTATCATAAAAAAGCTTATCTGAAGGTCAATGGTAAATTTATCTTTTTCTTTGATGAAAGTTTGTGGAATGTTTATAGTATGAATGACGAACTGATCTTATCTAGATCACAATAAAAACTAGGAAAAACTAGATAATTGTTTAGTCTTAGTACGGGGATCTCCAGAAACTCATATCCGCGACCCTATCGCCGTGAACCGAACCTGGGACCTTTGCTCTAGTGTCTGAACGCTTAAGTTTGAAGGCAGTCATCAGTTAATAAAAGATGGTCGTACAGTATAGTGAATACATTTGAGGTGGACATGTGCATCATTGAATGACAGCCAAATGGTCTGGAGGTTATGCGTCCGTACTAGAGAAAAGGTCTTGGGTTATATCTAGGACAGTTGGTTCGCGGATGCTTTCTGCTGAAGAGTCAGTCCCATACTAAAATGGGACAGGTTCCCGGTGCTTTCCGCTTTCATACAGTGGTCTAGCAATGATCAATTCGTGTTTGAACTACTATATTCCTTAATTTAAAAAAACATCAAAAAATATAGCTTAATGTTATAGTTTCTTTCCTTTGGGACAATAAGAAGTCATACACATCTCATCAGATTCTCAAATTTATCTAATTATTTGAATCTATTACAAAAAGCACAACCGTAAGAATTATTGAGGAAAAAACACAACTTACCTGAATATTGTAACATGAGAGTTTTTTATCCTTTTAAGCATAAATTAATGGATTTCATACATAATTCAGTATTTATAGCTGAATACTGCATTGAAAATAACGTTGTTTTTAACTAATTGGTCAAATAACGTTATGTTATTGTATTTACCATACACTGGAGAAAATAAGGAGAAAACTTTGAGCCGTGACTCATTGACTTCGGAACTTAGTTTCACTGCTGGCATATTTTTGTCTTTAGAAAATGCGTATTATATTCATTCCTTGAACTACAAATATGCACAATAGTCTAATCAGGGATCTTGTCAATATGTGTTCTCTTTTATTGAAATATTCATACGATACAATATAATCATAACCTTTAGATATTAACAGTAATTATCAAAAAACTTTATGTTCGTTTGTTTGTTTTTTATTCTTCAGAATGTAAAATATTTGATCCAACTATATAACAGTAGTACACCAGAAGTGGTTGAACAGTATTTCATTGAAAAACTTAATGAACAAGTAAGCTATCATTATTCATGAGTTGAACATTGTAGTGTCAGTTACTATGTTAAGCCCACATAACATTCTGGCTTCTGGACAGTCCAATTTATCCATTCTTTTTGAGTCATATTTTGACCGTGTTAATTACTCACTTATCAACCTTGACTGTTTTTATATGAGCGTTTGTGTGCACTTCTTACCTTACTTATCACAAGACACTTATTTAAGGACCGATTCACCAGGAAAATTGCAATGAACAGTATTCTTAAAACTTTATGATTATTATTAGATCCAAAGATTTTGTAACTGACTTAACATATATCAGTATGTTACTGGTTTGAATAAATAAACATTTAGAAGAACACTTGTACTCTAAAAATTCTGCACCTAAGATACTGTAGTTTCATATCTTAGATACTGTGTTATTCACCATCCAACCGTGAGAGAAAGTATCCAGGAAACTGGAATATAAAGTAATATTTTCCACTGGTTACTCCTCAAAGACATTTTGATGAGTTTATGCAGGACAGCTTAAACAATTCGTAATGGTAAATAGACAATAACAACTTTTCGTAGGAAATGTGATCTACCAGTGCCACAATATTAGGTCCTTTCAGATAAAATAGAAAGGTTAACACGGTTTTTGTCTTTTAAATTTAGTCCACATCATGAACCAACGTTAGTCAGGGAACCAAACAAAAACCAGAATCCACTGGATAGTTGTTTTCACCTTATAAATCCTTATCAGTCTGTACTTCATATATTATCACTGGTTTTACTCCCCTTAGACAACAACGGACATGAATTCAACTAGAAAAACATTAAAATTCTTCTTCGAAGAAATCCTAAAACTGTCGGGAAATTTCTAGGGGTAGAGCTTTCAGATTAATTAATAGACACATCCACATTGAACTAATCTGTCAACCGATACGTTAAATTTCTGTCAGTCACATGATTAAAGGTCAACCAAACAAAACAGTCATTTTGACTAGAGGCGACAATAAAGTCAAAAAACCTTTAAATGCATCCAGTCATAAACGAAGCCGCTAGAACGAATTCTGTGCTTGTAATTCTTCAATAATGCACATGGAATGAGCACACAATTTATCGACTAATCAAACTGAAGTCATTCAGTTAGCCTTTACTAGGAATTTAAAGTTGAAATGTTGAATGCTAACTTACTTAAAAACTTATTTTAATATTAAAATGAAGATCAATTGCTCTAAAACACCCTTTTTCAGAGTTTTTCTCAATTCCATCCAAGAATGTATCATTCTATACATTACTTAAATTGCGCACAACAATTGAAATAATCTGAGAGTTTGTTTTTCTTGGTCTTGACCGCTTTTGAGCAAAAATCACTATATGCAAAGTAGTGAGAGTATTTTTTGATTATTTAATTCAACTAAAAAGCGGAGAACATTGATATGGTCAAAGGAACGTTTACATAAACCCAATGAATCGTCACAATGAAGATGTTATATCAAGGAAAACTTTCTTTTCAATGATCTCATTTTCTCGAATTGTACTAGTGAATTTACAGCAATTTTTCATTCACAGAGGTTTATAGTAAAGTAGAGAACTCTTATGTCACTGACAGAGGTACTAGAAATCGATCAACACTTAAAGTTGCGTAATAACCAGAGGGTGATAATGTATGAAATCAGAAATCGCCCTCTTAACGATGATACAGGATATGAACAAATTAATGTCAAAAATAATTTACAAAAAAAAGATATAGAACAATGATAAGAGAGATACTTGTCCGCTTGATAAATACAAGAAAAAAAGAGGACAAATAGGTGAAAATGATTTGCAGACTACCAAGGCGTGTCAGGATCATCTTAAACTAAGGAATTCAACAAACTGCTTCTGAACACAAAAATTATCAAAGTTTATTCCATTTACAAATTTCTTATTTAGCTTTCTTTAGAACCAGTTGTCAATAACTTAACACTCATATACATTGTTTATTTTAGGAATTAGCCAGTTCTTCTTCATATGGTAAATTGACAGTAAAGATAAGTTATCAACGGACATCATTATATGTAGATATACAACGAGCTACAAACCTTGTACCACTTGATTCAAACGGTAAATTAAACTATTTAATTGGTATAGTATAATTTAATCTACTCATTTAAATGCATCTTGTCAGCATTTACGAATTTAGGTGACTATTTCCCTATAGTGGAGCACAGTGTGTTTTATTACTTTTCTAAAATAATGAATATTTTGCTTTTCTCAGCAGTTTTAATTCATGATCTAGTTCTGGTTTAACCATAACATGATAGTATTTGAAAGTTAATTGTTATATTTAGTTTTCATATTTTATTAAAGTTGTGTGTGCTGAGCTACTTTACTTTCACCTCTGTATAGGTACTTTACTCGGAGTAAACAAGTCTTTGATTGAGATCATGAACTGATTGATGTTAGACCACCATTGAAAACCCGGGAGCACTGGATGGCCGTTTCGTTCTGTTATACAACTACTCAGCAGTTTACATCCATAATTCCGCGTATGGGATTTGAACCCCGGACTTTCGGTCTCATGCAAGAACGCCTAACCTCTAGATCACTGAGATGGCATCCAACGGTGTTCATGTCTAAGTTCAACTAATCCACAATTTTAATCGAAAACGTAACAATCTCCACAACGCCGTACTGATTAAAAGAAAGTTTCCCCAAATATTGTGATATTGATGTCTTTCATTTGCTAATTTGAATTTACACCATAAAATGCTTCCTAAACTGGATCAGAATATTCAGTAACTTTAATTATTTTACAACTAATTACACAGCTGGACTATCTGAAAACAAATACATTTTAATTCATAAGTGATAACTAATCTCAACTCAAATTTACGATTGTGTTGTATTAAACTGATGAATAGTTGCATTGATTAGACCATAGTGCATGATATTGAAGTGTGTTTAAATGAAAATACTCACTCAGTAATATGACTATTCCAAAAAGTTATGTTGAATCAAAAATATCTATATCCAGAAGCTGTTTTATGGAAATTTGTTTCAATTGGGAAAATATTTAATTAATGAACAAGGTTTAGAAAATTTAAAATAGTTTACCATTACATGTCATTATATCAGGTAAAATGCATTGTTGAAGTTAAAGACCATAATTCAAATGAAACTTATACCATCTGTACAAGTCATTAGCTATTCGGACTTAATAGCTCAGTGTATTACACGATAGTGTTTGAAGTGAAACGTATTGAATTCGAGTTATAGTGTAGAAAACAATACTGTAATGCAGACACAATTTTCTGACAAGTACAAAATTAGAAGAAATGTCCATTTTACATTTCAATACCATCTAATATCCAACTTTAATATGTTTGAATTGCGAGAAATTCAACAGTTTTTATATTCTATATTTGTTACATTACTCTTTTTGAATTAAAAAAACTTTCAGAAAGAAAATATATGTTATTAAATCATCATTTATTTTAAAAGGTTTGTCAGATCCATTCATAATTATTGAATTACTACCTAAGCATATATTTTCGGAAACTCCAAAGTCATCACGAACAAAAATTGTCAAGAATACAGTTGATCCTGTATTTGATGAACATTTTGAATTGTAAGTATATCATCATAATTCATTAAAGCTCTCAGTTCCTTTTTTTGGAAAACACAAATAAATAGCACATTTTAATTTTATATCATTTAATAATTCACTATAAATGTCATTCGATTATTTGAATATTGATTTATAGCTAAACGATGAGTCTTTGAAGCAGTACAAGTTAAGATATATAAGATTCTATGAAAGACTGATAGGTTGGTGATGGTGTAGTGGACGCTATTCTCAAGGGCACTTATAAGTAGTGTGTAGTGGTTTCGAAATTATAACAAATGTAGAACCGAGTGAAGCATTTTAGTGCATCGAAAGCAAAACGTTGACAGAACACTTGAAGGTCAGTCGAGAAAACAGTTGAGATTGCAGAATGCACCATAAGATGCAAATAGACGATTGAAGGATATGCAAATTCTTTTTAGCTTCTCAAAATAAGTGTATATACCTTCTGTTTACTGTCATGTTTTACAGTGGTGTGAAAATATATAATTAACATTTTTAGGTTGAATTTGACCGCATTTTTTATTTTTGGCTATGATCATGCGTTGTAATGCATGAAATTCCTTCTTGTGATTTAGTAATAATTTGGCATTTATCTATTCAGATGTGTTCCTCTTAAAAATCTTAGTGAAGAATAATGATTTCAAATTACTTTTATTTCATCTCTGGTAATTTATATTGGTATGGTGTAATTTCTTATTTATTTCTGAGACCAGAAGTCTGGCCAACCTAGTGGACACAACAGATAAAGTCTCAATCACAAAAAACCAGTTTCTTTATTTTAAGTAATTCCGTTAAAAATCTATGAATACATAATGTAACCTGAGGTTATAAAGTATCAACTGGTAATCTATGAATTATCAAAATGTTGAATCAATTTACTGTGAGAAAAATATATAATAAGTAACCAACCGTGATTTCTAGGGAATACAATCATATCGTACTTGAAAGACAGCACAATCGAATAAAGATTGAATAAGGGAGAATGAGTTAAGTGAATTTGATAATTATTATACATAGTTTTGCTTACGTTGAATGAAATCCATTGTTAATGTTGGCGTCCTGATGTCAAAATTGTGACCGAATTCGATACCTTTTATCTGTCATGATATAAACAAGCTTTTAATTATCAGATATTTGCTGCAGTTATTAGTTAGGACCAGAAAATCAGGTTATGGAGACATGATTGGAAGAAATATCAAATGTTAAAAGTTTTCACTTTATATATTTATTTTGGTGGTAATATGTAGAGAATATTACATAATGTTCCAAGATGTAGGCATTTGTAATAGCCCGAGAGGCTTGAGATATTTCCTACTTCTTTTCCTTCTGACCTATTTTTGACGTAGGCTATTAGTGTTAACATGACAGAAACCTTAAAAAATCATTTAAGTGTTCAAAATAAAGATATGATAATAAACTATAAACTATATTTCAATCCTAAAAACATGATATGCACTTGATAATTGACATAATTCCAAGCTCATAACAAAGAATTAATTACACTATTTATCATCAAAGTTACAACTAAGCTTAGTCGTATTCCAGTAATTTTTAACATAAAATTGAAGACAATGGTGTACGGTAGCGCAACTTCGAGGATTGGTTGAAGTTAGACATTAACACCGTTGGATGCCGGCTCAGTGGTCTAATGGTTAAGTGCTCGCGCGCGAAGCCAGTATGTGCTGGGTTCAAATCCCGCGGGGTGCGGGGTCGTGGACGCGCACTGTGAGGAGTCACGTACTAGGACGAAACGGCCGCCCAGTGCTTCCAGGTTTTCCATGGTGGTCTAGCTTCAACTGACTCATGATTTCAATCTGTAAAATTGAATCGTCTAAAAAATATTTGGAAAATTTCCATATTGTGATTTAGAACAACATATATAAGCGAAAAATAATATTTTCAGTTAGATCTTCATCAGGCTTCACTCTAATATACAGCAATATTTGTAAATAAATAAGAATCTATTAAACCAATCAAGGCAGTTTATGAGTCAATGATAACAGTGGAATAGATTACATAAATAAATATAATAAGTGAAAAGTACAGATTGGTAATGTGATGACAAGTGTACTAATTGTTATAAGAATAATAAAGCCTTAAATCAATGTTACATAATGGGAATTTGGTCAATGATTAGAAAAATATAGACACTGAAATAATATTCATAAGATTACGTAATAAAAAGTGTTTAGATAATTGAACCGTGAAACGTATATTTCAAAAAAAAAGAAAATGGTAATCTATGTGATCTATTCAACTGTTATCACTGACTTATGAACTACCATGATTAATTTATTAATTTCACATATACCTATAAATATCGCTATATATTAGAGCCTGATGAGGATTTAATCAAAAACAATATTGTTCGCTTATATATGTTGTTCTAAAAAATATTTATTAAAACTATGAAAAATCAACGAAATATTTATTAATTTCAATAGTTGAAATCATGAGTCAATTAAAGGTAGACCATCATTGAAAAACCTGGAAGTACTGGATGGTTGCTTCGTCCTATTGTAATACTCCTCAGCAGTGCACATTCACGATCCCGCCTCGCGAGATTCAAACCCAAGATCAATCAGTCTCGCGCACGAACGTTTAACCACTAGACAATTTATTATTTTATATAAACGTAAACATTGTTTTACCAGATTCTTCACGGTACTATATTTCCATAAGAAAAATTGACTTTAAGCATATATTTTTTTACTAGCTTTATATTTAATTATCCAATAAATGAGATTGTTAATGTCAAACCACGTTAAAGTATCTATCTTATTTATGTGTTTTCTAATTATATATTTTTCACATGCCTGATCACTATCAATGAACAAAATAAGTTTACATAATCCATGTTTATTTAATGTACAAACTATAATAAAAAATAGTTAATAAATACATCGTATGATAAAAAGTACATTTTTATCAACACTAATTATGTTTATGCATTTAAATATATACATGACTTGATTACATTTGAAAGATCGATTATCATTTATAATGTTATCTCATTGAATTACATATAAGTTTACAGAACAGAGATTTCAACTATTTAACTATATGAGGACTGAAATTTAAAAAAGTAGTTTAATCATTTGTACTGCGGTGTGGGTTACTTATATCCACACAAGTAGCATATAACGATGGTCAGGCATACAATAGTATTTTAG